AGTTCACATCTCATCTATCATGACTTAAAGGCATTTTTAGAAGTATTTTATTGAGAAAAATTAGTTTTAAAATTTTGTTTGTGTGTGATTATATGTATACTTTTTGAGAAATCTCTTATGCTTTTCCAATGTATATTTATTCAGATGCATTATGGCGAGTTTTCACATACTTCCAGACTTTTCTGATACTTCCAGATTGTAGACACTTGCTTGACCTTTACTTTGAGATAAGACTTGAGTTATATTCCATTTAGGTGTCATCATCAGAGAATCAAGTATATCATGCCCTATTAATTTGATTGCATCTTTAGCCACTTTATACTTGACTTTAGTTGTTGGCATCAAAACTTAGTTGTGATCATCAAAAACATAATCACCCGCAAGATAGCTTCCTTGATTAATGACATGAAAAACAAAGTTCCACATTTCCTTGATGTCCTTAATTTTCATTTTAGAATTATCTTTCAATGAGTTCTAAATTCTCTTACTTAACCATTTTGTAATCATCATCTTCACATTGTAAGCTCCACTACATTTATAAACATCCATCATTTTTCTCAATTTCCAAGAATCTTCATTTGGTAATTTAACACAATAGGAATTCTACTGACACCCTTTCTTACATATAACATTAACCATTTGTTTGTCATTTTTAGCGAAATTTAGATCCCTGCTTGACTGAACTGCATATGTAGTGATTATTTCTTTGAAATTAGCACTGTTAGCAAAATAGGTCCCTAATTTTCATTTATAGTTTCCCTTGTTTTTTGACACTTTGAAAACAAGACATTTCTTCATATTACATCCACTGTACGCATTTGTTTCACTCCCACTTTTCAATTCCTCAATATCATCCTCATTTTTAACTTCACTAAAGTCCCATTTTTTATGTTTTTTTTACAAGTACCCCTCTGTCTCACCACAATAACCTAACATATTTTCAACACCCTCTTCCAGTAAACTATCACTACCACTACCTTCATCTGAATCATCAAATGCAACATTTAAGGCATTGTCATAATGAAAACTCATTTCATCACTATCATTATGAGATTCAGTACCAATGAGGCCAACATCATTTCCCTCACCCTTTGCATTTGTCAACTCAACATCATTAATCTCACCATCATTCACTTCAACCCCATTCATCTCAACCCCACCAACTTCAGCTTTACTCATTTCACTCATATTCACCTCAGCCCCATTGACTTCACCCCCATTAACCTCGCCATCGACCACCTCAACCCTATCCATCTCAACACCATTACCTCCAACTACACTCTTAATTACCTTATCCACATTAACTTCTATAACTTTGATAACTTCCTCATACAATTTTAGAATCTCATCTTCTTCATCAAAATTAACAACATCCTCTAGATTTATGGTTTCTTCCTCTAAATGACTATCATAATAGTCAGGTTGAGAAAGAGAATATTGTACATACACACGAATACTAAAATGTATCTTACATAATCGTCATTTCTTCGTTCTTTGTCTTCTTTCGTACCTTCGTTCTCAGCCTTCATTCTCAACTCTTCGTTCTTAGCCTTCGTTCGCAAGAGAGAATGAAACACCTTCCTTAGAAAAATTCAAATGAGATAAATGAAGTCCTACTACTCTTAAATATTCCAACTTAACAAATACTAATTCACGTAAGCAAATATTAATCCACCTCAACGACATCTGACATTCTTCCTTAACTTTGACTAACATCTTTAATTTCAAGGAAAAACGTGACACAATTTAAATAATTAAAAAAAATAAAAAATGGTCATTTTTAATATTCAGGAACAAAATGAACCCGATTAAAAAAGAATATAAATATGTGACTAATTTGATGATCTAGTTTCATAAAATGCAAAAATAAAAATAAAAATAGGAGACACAAAAATCAATCTCATTTGGGTGAGAAGAGAGAGTGAGAGAGAGAGATGAATAGGAAGATATTGGTTGTGGGAGGCACTGGATACTTGGGTCAGCATCTATTACAATCCTTTGCTAATCAATCTCTCACAGTAGCATTTACCTATCACTCCACTCCTCTCCCTCAACCTTTCTTGGATGCATTTCCTCATTCTCAACCTTTCCACCTCGATTTGAAATCCGGCATTGGATTTGAAGCCATTTCCAACGGATTTGGCCAGGTTCTTTTCTCACTTTTCCGCTCTCCCAACTTTCAATTCAATTAGGTCAGTGATAAAACATGATTCTTAGTAATCAGGTTGATAAGAGTTTTAGCCTTTCATCTGTAAAATATATCCTGGGGTTATTTATGTTCCTAAATTTCAATTAATCAGAAAAAAAACATAGGGATAAAGGATCACATATTTGCATTTCACAACTTTATAGAACATTTTCTGTTACTTGTTTCATTATCAGATTGTCGATTTCGTTGGTTTGTTTGTTTGTTATTGGCAGCCTGACGTGGTTATCAATTGTGCTGCCATCTCAGTCCCTCGCGCATGTGAAATTGATCCTGATATTGCAAATGCTATTAATGTACCATCATCCCTTGTAAAATGGCTGCAAAGCTTTAAACAGATCAATACCCTTCTCATTCATCTTTCCACAGATCAAGGTAAACCAATCTTATCGTGATCAATGAATATATTGCATCGGTTGTCCATATCCCGTTTCATTTACACTGATTTTCAGCTAAATTGTAATTTATGTTTCTTCTCGTTAGTTTATGAAGGGAACAAGTCCTTTTACAAGGAAGAGGACATTGTTGTTCCAGTAAATGTTTATGGAAAAACTAAACTGGCAGCGGAAAAGTTCATTTTGGAAAATTTCCCAAACTTTGCAATTTTGAGAAGCAGTATAATCTATGGGCCACAAACTCTTTCACCAGTTCCAAAATCTCTTCCTGTTCAGGTGCATTTACAGTATGGGGATTTATACTAATACTCCAAAATCTCTCCCTTAGGGTCTGTTTGGATTGACTTATTTTAGCTTATCAACCGGCTTAAGTACTTGCAAAACCGTGTGAGAGAACCTATGGAAACAACTTAGAACACATTCATAAGGTGTTTTCAGCTTATTTTCATAAATCTCTAGGATAGCTGATGGAAACGGCTTATATGAAAATGGTTTAATTTGATTCTATCTTTTAATATATAAATAGATTATACATAAACACTTACATGATATGCACTTAACTAAGTTGTTTGACCGTGTTTGGATTTATTGGAAAACTAAAACTTCTAGCATTTGGATTGGTGAAACTTGAGATGTGAATGATACTTGTAAATTTTGCTACCTTTTGCATGATGAATAAGATGTTTATTTCTTAAAAGACGGTGGTAATGCTTGGCTCATCATTTACTTATTTTTTGCTCAACCATGTTGCAAATGTTACACCTGTCTATTATTGCTCATTAGATTCTTCTTCTGATTCTTATAATTACTTAATGTATGATTTAGTTATACTGTCTAACTATTGCAGTGGATGGACGGTGTTCTTTCTAAAAGCGAAGCAGTTGAGTTCTTTCATGATGAATTCCGTTGTCCGATTTATGTTAAGGATCTCGTAACTATCATACTAGCTTTAACAAACAAATGGATATCAGGTACAGAAATTTTGTAAATAACCTTGTTTATATCGGTTAGACATGCTATACGCTGCAAAAGAGTTTCTTAATGAAACTGATTTTCAGATAGACATTTTGTAAGGTTGCAAAACACAATTTTATTGGAGAAGGTCAATCATTATTACCTATGAAAATATTTATCTTATAACTGAATTAGAATTATGCACGAAATTTTCATTTTCTAGTGTACAAGTTAAGCATTCTAACAACTTTTCGTTCTTGTGCGTGTATTATAATTTCCTTAGGTTTTTTAAGTTTCCACTTTCTTGTGTTCTTTGAACTAGTTTAAACGTGTGAATCTCGATTTTTCTTTCATGATTTGATTTTTTATTCTTGTCATAGGGAGCAAACAAATGCAGTTGTTACTTAATGCTGGTGGACCTGATAGGGTATCACGCGTTCAAATGGCCGAGGCTGTTGCACAAATCAGAGGGTATGACACGTCATTAATCAAACCAGTGTCTGCTTCATCGGTATGTGTTATGCTTCATTTATCCCAAAATAAAATTGGTGATACAGAATAAGTTTCTTGCTTTCTTTCTTCATCTGCATTTTCTGTGTCTTCATGAAATTATTAACCTCATTAAGTGTTTCAGAATAAGATGTTATTCCGTAATCAACGATTGAAGTTACTTTTGTTTTCTCATTCAGCATCATAGCCGTCAAAGCTTTTCATTTATCTTTTGAGGGCCATTTGAGCGGCTCTGTACATGATGTCATTTGACTTCTTGTGTTTCTATGATTGTCTTTTATTGTGACACCGTTTAAGTTTTTTCGTTATTTTGCAGGTTGACCGAGGTGTAAAGTCCCCAGCCGACATATCTATGGATATCACTAGATTGGTTCAAACTCTAAAAATCAATCCGGTTTTATTTAAAGATGGCGTTAAATTAACACTTACAACCGAAGCTAAGCGATGAAGCAGAAACGAAATTGCCATATAAGGCTTCCTTGTTCAGCATTTGAGTGTTGTTACTTAACCATTAAAAATCACATGTGCTCTCAATAGCTCTTACTACATTCAAATTGTTGTAAAATAAATGTAAATTCTTGAAAAACTCAAGTCAACTCATTTTGTTTGACCTTCATGGAGTAATCAAAATATTATTTTGTAAGCAAACAAAATTATTTTCTAAAACAATTGTTTGGAAAATATGCCAAAAAACAAAACTAAAGTTGATGTGGAAGCACATTATGATGTTTCTAGCAATTCTTGTCTCAAAGAATCAACTTTGTGGTCAAGATTAAACGGGATGAAGATTTTCTACCAGTTTTTCATTTCAAGAAAAAGATAGGCCTATCCAATTATTCTATGGACAGGATTAGATTATGATTCTATTCTTTCTCTTCCACTTTCTGCTCTCAATAGTGCTGTCTTTAGCCAATTTTCGTAACAGTTAGTTAAAAATGTCTTCCTTTGTTTCCCTTAATACCCTTCATGGCTCTCTTCTAAGATCCAAATTCCTAGGCCAAGAAAATCTCACTCATCTTTATCCTCACAACAATAAAGCTTCCATCTTTCACAGCAAACCAGCCTACAAAACAGTACGGATATGTGCCGAATTCGACCTGCTGCAAATCATGGGAGGCAGAGGACTCTGTAAAGGAGAAGAAGGACTTCAAAAAGAGCTCAAAAGAGAAATTGGTTCCGATGATCAGAATCAACCACCATCATCAGAAGCAGCTAGTAACAACTCAACACAGTCCTTTGAAAGTGTTGCAGAAGCTAGTAACAACTCAACACAGTCCTTTGAAAGTGTTGCAGAAGCTAGTAACTCAACACAGTCCTTTGAAAGTGTTGCAGAAGCTAGTAACAACTCAACACAGTCCTTTGAAAGTGTTGCAGAAGACGGTTTTGAGAAAGAGTTAATGGGATTAACCGGAGGGTTTCCTGGAGGTGAAAAAGGGTTGAGAAAATTCATTGAAGAAAACCCTGTTCCAAAACCTGATGCAGATGACAAAAGACTTAAACTTTCATCGTCAGAAAAGGCGAAACCACCAGAACTTCCTATGTTACTTCCAGGAATGATTGCTATTGTGAAGAATCAAAATAATCCATTTTACATGTACTGCGGCATTGTTCAAAGAATCACTGATGGTAAAGCAGGAGTGCTGTTTGAAGGAGGGAATTGGGATAAGTTGATCACTTTCAGGCTTGATGAACTAGAGAGAAGAGAAAAAGGTCCTCCTATGAAGAATCCTAAGTCTTGTGTTCTTGAACCATTTCTTGTAAAGAAAACATAGTTTGCAGGACCTTGTTGCCATTTTGTTACAAAACATGTTTGCTTTTGTATCAGACATAGTGAAAAAAGTCATTTGTTTGTGCTGAACTTGTAAATTTGTACAAAGTACTGTGTTAAAAAATGGTGTATAATTTAGTGTGATTTAAGTGTTATATGTCTGTGCGGAGTTATTTGGTATTCGAGAGCATCATCCTAGGATCAATCGTGGAACTACTATCATTGGTCGGTACGGGATTAATCATGCTTTTCTATTTAAATCTCTGCTGGAGAGTATGATGAAGCACAGGAGCAACAAGAAGTCAAATTCTACATTCTATAACAGGATCTAATAACAATATCCCACTCCCTTTTCCCCCATCAAGTTGAACCAGAATATTGATTACTATTTGTTAAAGAGTTCAAAAGAGGTAGTAAGAAACAATGAAACAATGTTTCACGATTACAAGACAAAGAGATATCAAATCTCCATCTAAGATCGTAAGACATTGGACATATGAATGACATTTCTTATATATCTAAAAACTAGTTTATTCATAGTTTGTGCACACGAACCTAAAAATCTCTTTTTTAAAGTGTGACACACATTCTGTAACAGGATCCGATCCACTTTTTTAAGTGTGTCTCGAAATATCTTCTCTGATCTTCTTAACAAGCATATATCAATTTCAAAGAAACACATAACTCCAAAATATCACACCCAACTTGTCCCATATACTGTAGCGTAAAATTTCCATTTCCCTTCCTATTTATGTCCACACGACGTTTCATCAAGCAAACGCCAATTCATCATTCTCATCTCCCGAAATGGCCAACCTCAAAATCCCTGACCACCAAGTCGCCGGTCACCAAGCCAAAACCGGAATCCTCGGCCCTCTCATAGACGGTTCCGGAAAATTCTACAAACCTCTCCAAGACGACGGCAGAGGCTCCCACGAACTCGCTTTCTACACCTCCCTCTATTCCGATCCACGCATCCCCTCCAACATTCTCAATCTCTTCCCTAACTTCCACGGCACTCAAGTCGTCGAAGCCTCCGACGGCTCCGGCCTCCACCCCCACCTCGTCATGGAAGATATCGCCGGGAGTTTCACCAACCCCGCCGTCGTCGATTTCAAGATCGGTTCTCGGACATGGCATCCACAATCCTCCGAAGATTACATTTCGAAATGCCTCAAGAAAGACAGGGAATCTTCTTCTATCAAATTAGGGTTTAGAATCTCCGGGTTGAGATCCGTTTCTCCGAGTAACCAATGCTGGCAGCCTCAGAGAAAGTTTCTTATGGATCTATCTGCTGAGGATGTCAGATTGATGATGAGGAAATTTGTTTCCTCTGATGGTAATGCTGATCAGCCTGATTGTGTTTTTGCTTCTAGGGTTTATGTTCATGTATTGGAGGAATTGTTGGTGCTTAAGAAATGGTTTGAAGTTCAAACTATTTTTCATTTTTATTCTTGTTCTGTTCTTGTGGTTTATGAGAAAGATGAAACCGATGAGAAGAAACGTGCAAAGGCTGTTCTTAAGCTTGTTGATTTTGCTCATGTGGTTGATGCTAAAGGTGCTATTGATCATAATTTCTTAGGGGGTCTTTGTTCTTTGATTAAGTTTGTTAAAGATGTGTTGGCCGGTTTAGGTGTTGATGAAATCTCAAACCCTAAACCTTAAACACAAGTGTAAAATTCCGCCAATTATATTACAGGAGATAGATTCATTTGGATCATTTTGTAATCGACTCTAATTTGACGTGGATCACTTAAACTGAGGTTTGGTCATGTTCTTTGATTAATATATATTCAAATGATGCTTTAGTTTCAATTTGGATTACTTTTGAGTATTTTAATTTGAATGTGGTTACTTTTGAACTATAATTGTTAATTAATTGTTACTTTGGAACAATCTATGTCCATAAGTTGTTTTTAGCTTATTTTCATTAGTTTTCTATGGTAAAGAAATAGCATAGAAACAAGATAGGTTGTTTTTAGCTTATAATTTTCATCTAAGTTATAAGCTCTTTCTTCTCAACATTTGTGAAACTGATTGTGAGAGTTTATAGAAATAAAATATGACATGTCTACTCTCGTCCATACTATGCATACAGTATACACGAACATGTTAGAATAAGCAACTTGATTAAGTGTTTATAGTATGTATAAGTTATTTCTATATAACCAAAGAAAAATTAAATCTAAGGTATAAACTGTATTTTTCCATCAGTTTATGAAAAGGATAAGTCCTTTTATGGAAAAACTAAACTGGTGGCAGAGAAGTTCATTTTGGACATGTGATATGCTGCAAAATACTATCAAGGATCTGGTTAACTCTCCTACTAGCTTTAGAAATCTGGTATGCTGCAAAATATCATGGATCTGTTACCTTTCCAACTAGCTTTAGACATTTAGTATGCTGCAAAATATTTGCTTTAGACATGTGGTGTGCTGCAAAATATCAAGGATCTCGTAACTGTCCTACTAGCTTTAGACATGTGGCATGCTGCAAAATAATTTCTTAATGAAACTGATTTTCAGTTAGACCTTGTTTAAGGTTGCAAACCATTATTTTATAGAAGAAACTTGTTCCTTATTTATGAAAATTGTTTATATATTATTACTGAATTAGAACTGTGCATGACATTTTGGCTCTTCCATTTTTAGCTTTCTTGTGCTCTTTAAACAGAGGCATCTCAAATTTGCTTTCATGATTTGATTTAGGATTCTTGTCCCAGAAGGCAAGCAAATGCAATTGTTACTTAGTGCCTGTTTGGTTTGGCGGTGGAAACACCAAATACGCGTTTCAAACCGTTCCTACCGTGAAAATAAGAAGCAGCAAAACACAGCTTCTACATAAACGTGAAAATGCACCGTGCTTTTGGGGATCCCACCGTGTATCCAAACATACCATTAGTGTTGGTGGACCTGATAGGGTAGCATGACTTCAAATGTTTGAGGCGTGGTTGCATAATTTAGAGGGTATGACACCTCATTAATCAAACCTGAGTCTGGTGCGTAATGAAGAGTTTCAATGTAGTAAGCTGGTTTGGAATAAGTTAACCCTACTTAATGTTTCAGTGTTTCTTTGGTGATTATTACAAAATAAATTCCCTACTAGAGATAACCTAGTGTCGAGGAATGCAGTTATAGAGAGGATAAAGGTGGTTGTCCACTAGAGTGTTCCGATGTATGTTAAGGCTAAGCTGATATAATAAATAGATCTGATTACATGTGTAGAAGAGTTGAAGATTACAAATGGTATAGAGTACAATATATAGAAGAGTTGAAAATTGAGTACAATATATAGAAGAGTTGAAAATTTGTTGAGTTTTAACAAACTCCTAATTAACTCAACCAATTTATAATTTCCAAAACTAACTTCTAACTAACAAAGAGAGTTAGCAAACTAAACATAAATCTTACGCTAGTAACTACTTCAAGTAATACTTGTAATACTCCCCTTCAAAGCTAAAGGTGGTTGTAAGTCACTATTGAGCTTGACTCTAAGGTCATGAAATGCTGCAGGAGCCTAGGAGCTTGGAAGAGTATCAACAATTTGAAGTGAAGCAGGAACATGTTGGACCACATACTTTTTGGATGGTATTCTTTCTCTTACATAGTGATCGTACCTGATCAGAAAGGATTGTCAAGGTTCATGAGTTTTAAGTCGAATAGTGGTTGAATGTGAAACGGGAGGAGGGAGATACCTGCAAAACACTCTGATGTCAAAGTAAGGTTCAAAGTAAGTGCAAGTAAGTGTGAGAGTATGGATGAATGAATGAATACCTGACCCTCTCAAGTGAGAGGATATTTATAGCCCCTAGCGCTGGGCCAAGGTCCCCATTGTTGGGTTGATTAAGTAGGCCCAAAATGGAGTCTGTCAGGTCTTACGTGTGTAGTGGAGGCCAGCACGTGGTCCCCAACCTGAATGTACTCCTCTAAATTATCAGGAGGACGTGGATGTGGTCTTTTTGGGGTCAAGAGAACTCCGTGACATTCGAGGGCGTTGGGTGCCTGCCCTACGAGAAGGGTGCTCGTGAAGATCTCATGAGTGTCGTTGGTCCTCCTCGCCAATCACGAGGTTGTCCCCGGAGGACATATCCTGATCGACGAGAGGAGTGAAATCACTGCCCAACATAGTCAAGGGAAGACTCTCTCCTGCTGGCTTTTTTCTGCAGCATGGTTGGATTGGGCTTTGTATGATGTTGGGGCCAAGTGCAAGCCCTGTCCAGAACAAGAGCCCCCAAGTCGTTGCTCCTGAGGAAAGGAGTTATGACTTAAGACCAACTTCTCCGTATGGTGAGCATAGTTTCGTCGGGGTCCCCCTTCACGTCGAGGGACGAGATGGTTTTTATACGCGACTACTCGAGTGGAGATTGGAGTGTGTTCACGGAGAAAATTTATCTGCTCCTCGACTCGCTGGGAGATCAAAGTTCGCAGGATATTTACTTTGTAAGCCATGTGGTGTAGCTTTTGGTCGCGACTACTCGAGTGGAGATTAGAGTTTGTTCACGGAGAAAATTTATCTACTCCTCAACTCGCGGGGAGACGAAACTTCGCAGGATGTTTACTTCGTAAGCCACGTGGTGTAGCTTTTGGGATAAAATGATGGCCTAGGGAGTAGGGGTCATTATGACCCTGCACGCGTGGGCGGTAGAGAGACGAATAGCTGACACGTTGTTTGACGCGATGCTTCGTCTTCCATGCCATCTTTATAAATAGCACCTAAGGGCTCATTTGTAACGCTTCCAAGCTCTCGCACTCTTCTTTCTCCCTACTGTCCTCAGTTTTCTATCGCCCTTAATTTCCTTCTCCAACCGTAAGCGCCGTCGTAGCTTCTGCCGCAGAATCTCTACCAACCTTAATCAAGTAAGTGTTTCCCAGTGATTATTCTCGTTTATAGCTGGGTTTTTGACAAATTTCATGGATTTCTTAATGAATTTCACTACCTGGGAGATTTTTACTAGGATATTTATACCTCTCTTCGTGATACTCACGAAATGGCTCGTGAAATTCATCCACTCCCCGTAGAAATCCTGAAATTGCTCGGGGAATTCATCCCCTCCTTGCAATGTTCATGGGATTGCTCGGGAGATTCATCTTATCCTTGTTACCTTCACGAGGTTGCTCGAGAGATTCACATTCTCATCGTGATGTTCATGAGGTTGCTTGAGAGATCTATATTCTCCTCGTGGCGCTCACGAGTTTGTTTGTTTTTACTGAACGAGGGTTCGTCGAACTGGTTTGGTCGTAGCAACCACCTTTCACTTGTGTTGCGGTGGAAGGGTGGATTTTATTTAGCTGTCGAATTCACTAGTTTCCTCTGCTTTATAGGTGAAATGGCCGAATCAATTGAGACACCCGAGTAGGTCGAGATAGAAGAAATAAGTGAAGCCGACGAGGGTGTCCACTTGATCGACACCTTCACTGACCCGTCATTGTCTTGGGTCGGCTAGAGCCTCTAGGAATATCCTCGGTCTTTAGCCATACAAGGAGGGAGGTGTACACCATCGTCGAATATGGCGGCGACCAAGAGGGTTTCAGGCGAAATTTCATGATCTTTCGCCCGACACCTACGACCAGAATATGCTCGTCTTTCCCGAAAGATCACTTCCCCATGTACGAGATTGTCTTCAGGGATCCGGGGCTTCATCTGCCCTTCAGTGACTTTTAAATGGGTGTCTTCAATCATTTGTCCTTGGCGCCCTCCCAACTGCACCCCAACGTGATTGCTTTTATATGGGCTTTCGAGATTACTTGCTGATACTTGAGAATTAGGGCGACAATTCCTTTGTTCTTTAAGGTTTTCCACCTTCAACGGCAGTCTAGGTGAGAAAAACATAGTTGGGTTTCTTTCAAGCAATCCAAGAGGCTGTTCCGGATGTATATGGACTCTGTCCGTGACTTTAAAGACAAGTGGTATGTTATGCATCCTTCGTCCCAAGAGGCAGTGAACGCGGTGTTCGACTCAGTTTCTCTCGTTGATGAGGACAGAGAAGTTTGTTATGACAAAGATGTGAACAAAGAGATCGGGAGGCTCTCTTAGTTCCCTATCCATTGGTGTCGGGCTACTACGACCACGAGCCTGACCACTATCATACTCATGCTGGAATTATGGGCACCGAGGATGAGGGGGCCTTCGGTATTCTTAATAGATTCTTCGATGGTTTCTTACCCTCCAGATGGGTTACGAGGGAGATGACGTTCTTGGTGAAGATAGTGAACCTACGTTTGAGGCCCGTCCGATCAACACCAAGACGCTTGTTGAATGTCGTACCTACGAGGACGCCGTGGTTCTTCTGGGTCTCTATCTGCATGACTCCATTGAATTCTATTTTTAACTTGTTTCAGGTATGTCCCTCTAGCGGTATTGACTCGAGCATGTTGTTTTTGTTTTTGCAGGTAATACGGCCCGATTGATTCGCTGGTGTCACCAGAGAATTTTGTGAACTTTGGGACTTTCCAACCCCTGAGAAATTCAGTCTGTAAAATATATCCTGATAAGGGAGAAGTATAATTTTGCCTAGTGAGGCCTACATTTACACCATTTCGCGCCATGATTCTTTCGGCCATGGCTGCCAGATTGTTGTCTACTGCTCTATTGTCTTGTCGAACTTGATATAAAACTTCATCAACATTTTGATTTTTATTCACCATCATAACCCTAGGTTCTGGTTG